CCCCCCGCGCATCTCAAAGATTTCTCTGAGTCTCCTCAGAGGACTGAGGACAAACTACTCATCATCTGCAGTTTTCTGGACCCAGAAAGAGTAAGGATGCTCATCTGGTTCCATCCAGTCTGGTCATCAGATATGGTAAGACCCTGGGGCACCCTAGTTAATTTGTTTAATCCTGCCCCTCTCACCACTCCTCTATGAGAACAAACATTACTTACTTGTTTTGGGTTTAGTTTCAGTTTCTGCCTGCTAGCCTGAGAAGACAGAATCTCTGGGAAGGGGGTTGAAATGTTTAACCTCTGAATGCCTGGAGAGTGCAAGTGTGAATGAATGCAACTGAATAACATCCTTAGTTTCTGGTCCATGTGGTTCCACAGGGAAGAGAGGGGTGATCTCTCTTGGACCTTCAGAGTCTGACTGAGTTCATCTGCGATTTCATGGATGTGTCTAAGAAAGGCCAAGTGGGGGCTTTTGTGATGAGATAAATACCCCCTCAAGCCCAGAGAGTCCTTAAAGTGGCAGAGAGTCCTTAAAGTGGCTGAGAGGCCTACAGCCAGATGAACATTTGCCTGGTCTTTCCCTCAGGGGAAGGGCACCCACCTTTTGTCTGTTTGTGTTTCTGAACAAAGGAATACCTCACACACCTAGGGAGCTAGCCAGAATGGGTGCAAGTCAGTCTAAGCCCACGGTGTTAGAATATATGCTAAAAATTTTTAGGGAGAGCTATTCTTGTAATTATGGAGTAAAAATGAAACCCCAGAAGCTATACACCTTCTATGAGGTTGACTGGCCAGAACTCTACCCAGAATGGCCACCAAAGGGAACTCTAAATACAGACATTGTATGCCAAGTTTGGAACAAAGTGACTGAGACCAATGGAGGAGGCCAACCTGACCAGTTCCCTTATATGGACTCCTAGCTTAATCTTTGTTTAAAACTGCCCCTATGGCTCCATGTTTGCACTGTGAAAGACCCAGGAGCCATTTTAGACATGCAAGAGAACCACCCCAGTCCTGGGAACAATGGTGAGAGGAGATGCCTGGCAGCTGCCCAGGAACAACCCCAACCAAAGAGACTATCCAGTCTTCCCAGAGGATCCTTCTCAGGAAAAAAAAAAAAAAAATCAGACTTCCCCTGCCTTACCCAGACTTACCACAACCCCGAGCCACAGCCCCAACACCTCCAACTCCTCTGGTGCCTGCTCCTAGGCCTACAGAGTGTTGCCTGATTTTACTTCTCAGTCACAGCCATCAGCTAGTGGCTGCACCCGCCCATCTTCCAGAGATGTCACCTGACGTCGGCACTTCCATTGCCAGGGCCCACCTCCACACCTGCAATGGCACCCATTCCTGTTCTGGTGATGGTGATGCCCCCATTACCTGGTCTCGCCTCAATATTTCCAGCACCAACACCACCTCCTCCTCTGGTCGCATGGCAACCAATTTCTAACCTTGCACTTGGAACTATGCCTATCTCTACTCAAATGACACTACCCAGTACTGTGCAACCAAACCTGGCCTCTGTCACATCACCCACGACATCAAGTTTGGCGGGCACTGTTTTTCTGCCTCCTCTGCTCCATCTAGTTTCTGATGATATGCAGTCAGGTTCCTCATCACTTCCACCAGAGCCAGCAGAGGTCCCCCTCAGACACCACCTCCAATCTGCCACCCAGTCCAAACCATCAGCTCACCTTCAGATGCTATTGTATGAATATCCAGGAATCTCCCCAGCTCCTGGCCAACAACCCTTAAGATATCACCAGCCTTTCAGCACCAGCGATGGTCTGAACTGGAGAAACCATAATCCCTCTTAAACTGAGAAGCCACAGGGGATGACAGAATCTGTAACTTCCATCTTCCAAACTCACCAGCCCACTTGGGATGGCTGCCAGCAACTCCGTATGACCCTATTCAACACAGAAGAACCACATCAAATATTGAATGGAGCCCAAGCCCCGATGAAGGCTCAAGTCCCTCCCACTACAGCTGACCTGGACTGCTGGGTTGCTGAAGCACTGCCTAGAGGCCAACCAGACTAGACCATATAAAACAGAGGTAGGACTAAAAACCTTAAACCAGTATTGGAATACCTTCTTAGTGGGACTTAAAAACGGTGGGAAAAGGCCTACAAACACATCAAAGGTAACAATTATCATCCACATATAAGGTGTATAGCTTCTGGGGTTTCATTTTTACTCCAAATAAAAGTGCATCTGAATTCTATGAGAGATTGTGTGAAGCCTACCGAGTCTATACACCCTATGACCCCAAGTCCAAGAACATCAGCAAATGATTACTGTGGTCTTCATTGCTTAGCTGATA